TGGAGAGGGCAAAATCTGGTGCCACTGTGCATGGTAGCCAATCAGCTTCTAACTTTAGCTTGGTTAGTTAGCTCAGGTTCACTCTGGATCCGACTTTAAAATCGTGCAACTTCACTTGAAGTTTCAGGATTTCAAAGTTGCATGTCAGTGCGTCTTCAGGTGTGACTTAAAAGACAATCAAAAATGTAAGATTACCACAAAAATATAGGCGGGGTAGCCTAATATTGAGCTCAAAGAACGCACCTTATTTAAACGGTTTCGGTGTTAACCCCTTCACGCCAGCCGCACGCAAATGTGCTGCCTCCCAGCGTCTGGGCCTAGACGCCGAGCAGCCGCACATTTGCGTTCATATAGCAAAAAACATACGTGCTGAGAGCGCGTGCCCTGCGTGCTCCCAGCACACATGTGATGTACTCACAGAAAGGTCCCGGTCCGCTCTTTCGATCGGGACCTTTCCCGATCATGTGACCAGCCGTGAGGTCACGGCGGCCAAATGACACTATGCCACGCCCCCATCCCGCCCACCTCCCAGCGCAGGAACTCCTCTTCACGCCGGGACGTCCAGCGTGAAGGGGTTAACCTAACTAAATTTGGAAACCAAAGGAGTTGTAGTTGCATGACACAAACTACCAAAGTAGGTAATAACCACCCAAGCAATTTAGCTCATATATAAAACCATATATTTTTAATAATCCCATTTCGGGAGAAAAAAGTGATATCCGTAGATGGCTACACATACAACCACTGAACACATAATTAAAAACAGTTAAAGATAAGTAATCCAGATTTCAATATGTAAATTACAGTGGTAATCACATTAGACTGGTATGAGATTTTGTACAACTCTGCCTCTGATACATTTCATGAGAAACTATAATGAAGCAAATAAATCATGAATTAGGTCAAATAACACTTGATATGTTTCCCGATCCGTTTGGAACACTGTACACCATGCAATCTACAACATGAAGTCTGATCCTTGTCCTGGTGGGGACCGTGCTAATTATTCGTCATCAACCCATTACAAGGTTATAGAGGCTACAGCATATGGAGAGCCTCAAAATCTGGAGCTGTTTTGGACTCTTGATGACCCGACGGTGGTGAGTGTGGTGTATTACCAACTATCATTACATGCTGCTACACACCACACCTGACGTTTACCCTTTATCTCTTCGCTGAATTTTATGCTCTTTTATGGCCTCCCTGGAGTAATACCTGCATATGGGATAACATTATACTTCTTAACGATATATCATCTGATTTATACAACTTTGTTTTCATGATCCACAATACATATGATTGGAAACTACATGGGACAGTATGAAACCATTTCAACACTGTATAATTCCATTATGACATCTCATCGCATCCCAGTATTGGACATTGAATCAACTTTTATTCATGTTTATTGAACTACAATCTATTGTTCCCACACATCGGAGAGACAATTTATACGTCATGACATGTGTCAAGTCATACAAATTGCATTTCCTCTCAACAATCAATATGCATAGCAATTTTGTTATTTGAGCTATGTCATGATTTATTTGCTATATTATAGTTTCTCATGAAACGTATCAGCGCTGTACAGAATCTCATACCAGTCTAATGTGATTACCACTGTAATTTACATATTGCAATCTGGATAGCTTATCTTTCACTGTTTTTAATTATGTGTTCAGTGGTTGTATGTGTCGCCATCTACGGATATCACTTTTTTCTCCCGAATTGGGATTAATAAAAATATGTTGTTTTATATATGAGCTAAATTGATTGGGTGGTTATTACCTACTTTGGTAGTCTGCGTCATGCAACTGCAACTCCTTTGGTGACTTGGAAGACATTTGTGCGACTTCATGCACAGATGTCTCTGCAAGTCACACCTGAAATCACAAAAAGGAGTGCAGGAGCTACTTTCAAAGTCAGAGTCGCACCAATTTGAACGGTTCCGCTGCAAACAATAAGTTGCAACTTGTCATGTGATTTGAAACTGTCAAATCTCATGTCAGTGTGAAACAGGGCTTCAGCTCTGAAAAAAAACACATGGAAGCTGATTGGCTACCATGCTCAGCAGCACCAGATTTTGCACACTCCAGTGTTAGTAAATCAATCCCATTGTGACAAGCTGGTGACATGCTGCATTTTATCACAGTGTACTGGCCCGAATTGCACTGCAGTGTCAGGCAGTGCATCGTGCTGTCCCACATTGCAGCGAATGACGTGTACATTTTTTACGCATCAAACAAAGCTTGTACAAAAATTTAAAAAAAACTTTAAAAAGGGGGCTGTGTGGTGTGCTTATACACACACCGCACTACCCCCTAGCACAGCCGGCAACACAGAGTGACTGGATAAGTGATTCGCCACAGCTGCACTGCGATTTAGCAGGTGTATAGTATGCATTTGCCTTTAAAGATAATGCTGCTATCATTAGTATTTTATATTTACATTTGTAGACTTTTTCGTTTTTTTTTACATTTCTGCAGTTACTTCCTGGTTTCCAGGCCTAGGCAAATGATGTCATACATCCCAGCAGTCATCAGGAGGGGGGGAGGGAAAAGGGGAGGAGGGGTTTTCTCAGCTAAGCACACCTTCCTACTTGTTTGCCTGAGCTAAGGGAAGGTGGAATCCAGGAAGTAAATGCTACATGAGTCATCTGCCCTTACTCACAGTCAGAAGTGCTAGGGGGTTCATTTTTCAGAGTGATTTCTCAGGAAAATAAAGCATGGAGACATGGATGGATGGATGATTTTGCTTTGTAAATTAAACATGAAATAAATAGTGTTTTTGGTTTGTGGTGCTCAGATGCAGTGTAGTTACACTTTAAACTGAACGTATGCCATAATTGTATTTATTTTGGTTAAAATAAATCTAATAAGTGCCACTGCTCCTTGAACATTACAGAAGTAGCAATACATAACTTTGCATACATCTACTAAAATGGATTAGACTGGGAATTAATCTGTTTAGGTTTGATTTTTATGCATGCAATTTTACAGCTTTATAAAAAGGGTCAAAAGAACCAACGATACCCTTTGGATTTACTTCAAAACAAAAAGCGCTTTACTTTTTTTAATAGGACTCTAAAACTCTTAACGTCATAAATACACAACAAAGTAAAATACCTTTTTATTAACTGTAAGTCATAAAATAAATGGGTTTTCAGCACATAATAAAACAAATGGAAAATGCTTTTTCAACTAAAGACAGAATAACATCATGTGAAAAAAGGCAATAATTAAAATCATTAATTAGAAGGTATTTTTTATTGTTTTGAATAAACTGGAGAATACTAAGAAGTGATTGGCAGTTATCCATTATTACTCCTGCACTGAGTGTTTCTTATTTCAAGGAGTGGCAGAGGGCAAAAGCAAAGGTAAGTCAGTGCTAGAGGGCAAGTATCAAAACAATCTGTTGATTTACCCTGCTCAGGTGAAACACAGGTTTGCTTTGACCTAGCCAGAACCCCTTAAATTAGATTTTTCATTTCCAAATCATCGCTATCTTTGTTAATTCTTTTTAAGCAGCACACACCATAATTGTACAATACATATTAACCAATCTCCCCTTTAATTACTGTAGAGTAATACATCTCTGTTTTATCTTTGTTCAGCCAATAGAGAACAATAAGGAATAGGTCATAAATATTCTCCCACAGGAAGGTTTTCTTTTTTCAGTTGTGAGATTGTTACACATTTAAAGAGCTTGTAAAGGCTGAAGGTTTTTTACCTTCATGCATTCTGTGCCTGAAGGTAAAAAACCTTCTGTGTGCTGCTTCCTCACCACCCCCCCCCCCATACTTATCTGAACCCCCTCTCGATCCAGCAATGTGCATGGGACCCTCAGCTGTCACTGTTCTCTCTCTCCTCTCTGGCTGAGACACAGCAGCCGGAGCCATTGGCTTCCAGTGCTCTTAATCACAGCCAGTGAGCCAATGAGGAGAGAACTTGGACGGGGCCAAGCCACAGCTCTATATGTCTTATAGATACATAGAGCGGGGCTCAGGAGCAAGCATGCATCAGTGCTCCCATAGCAAGCAGCTTGCTATTGAGGGAACTGGTCAAGGGGAGGAGCCAGGAGCAACAGTGGGGGACCCAAGAAGAAGAGGTTTAGGGCTGCTCTGTGCAAAACCATGGCACAGAGCAGATAAGTATGATATGTTTGTTATAAAAAAAAAAAAGCTTTAATATCACTTTAATAAAAAACTTTGATGCTTGATAAAAAGTCTACTTAAACAAAGACAAATATCTTTTAGAGAGTGAATACACTTCTTTAAAATGACCCCTAAATTGTGTTGTCATATTTTCTTTGATTGCTACACAATATGAACAATATGAAATCTGGCAGCTAGATTTATTGTCACCCAGTGATAAGGTCCATGCGTCTCAAGCACCTAGTTTTCTATTAACTGTCTTATTGGGGTTGTTTTACTAAAGGCCAATAGGCTTTACCCTGTACAAGGGAATTTTCCCCCGGACTTAGTGAATGTGTTACAATTTCACTTTGCAAAGAATACCCAATCACCTGCAAGGAGAATAAAAAAAGCAACATTTTTGCTTGAATCTGATTGGATGATGGAAGTCAGCAGAGCTTCACCTCATCCACTAAGCTTTGGGAAAAATTCCCTGATAAAGAGAACAGTTTATTTTCCTTTAGCAAATCAACACCATTATGTCCAGAAACTCTAAGCTTTTAGAGGTTTATGTCTTTTTTTCTACTAAAGAGAGAAGGGTTTATTCTTAAAATGGGCAGAGCAATAAACAGTCATCAAATCAGCTTTCAGTCTACCAGAAGCGCTGCAGTTAAAAATTCTGATTGGTTGTTATGAATATTGCACATCACAGTTGCTCTTTGTACTAGTTAACCTTCAAAGTGCTTATGATTGACGTACATAATTGGGTTGATGCATTGTATATTTTAAGCAATAGTACGGGAGTAAAAATATTTTTGTATTTACTTGGGGGGGTCCTATAAGTTCATTGCAATTTATACTCTTACAGACCTGGAAACAAAAACATTGCAAGGGTTAAAGGGCGAAAACAGTCTCAGCAACACTGGATCTTTTCTTGTGGACAACACTACTGTTGACTTCCAAAGATTTCCCGATAAAGAAATCCTCAGGATTGCTGGTCCTCTTTCTGCAGATTTTTCTGTCAAGGTAAGCCAAACCTGGTTAATCTTATGGGCACAGTTCCAGTTGCAAATACTCGTACAAAAGAGCTTGTTCCATCCCACAGAACAAACAGCATTTGGTTTCTATTCAGTTTTCCCTATGATGTCTATGGTGGAAACTTGCTCTAGTGCAGCACATAGTCTTTAACACCTGTGCAGAACTTATGTAATAAAGTTTAGTTCTTGGCTTTCCTATACTTGACTAATGTTACATCTCTAACTATTTTAAGTGGGTGTTGTGATTTAATACCTTAACCAAATAGCATGAATCAGCAACATTTGCTAGCTGGAATGTTATTCTGAAACGTATGTTGATAATTCTTCAGTGTAAGAACTGCTCCACCCAAAATTTGGGTGGAGGGTATGAGCTAGAGGTTACAATGCATCTCCTATTTGCCCCTGTTCCCACTGCCTGTTCATATGCAAGTCAGATTTGCATGGACATCTATAGCGAATGTTATGATACACAGACAGAACTATTTTGTTATTCTGGAGCCTGGTGCAAGTGAGATGCAGAAGACGTTACCATTCTACAGAGAAAAAATGGAAATTTGCTAATCAGTCTACTGTATATCTAGCTGGATGTGCATGTTTGAAGGGACAGTACAAGTACAGAAACATCTTTAACTTTTGTTTCTTCTCCTTTCCATATTGGTTTTAAGCTTGTACAGACATAGCACTTGCTCCTGTGTTTTTTTCTTTATAATGTTCATATTCCAGGTTAGAGACTCACTAAGTAGTAAAGCCAAGACCCTGTACCACATTTCACAAATGACAGCCCCCATAGTTTCACCATCACAGGTTGTTTTTCATGGCTCTTAGCACTGGTATTATTATTAAAAGGAATGCATATTGTTCCTTTCTATATAATGGGTAGGGCAAAAAAATACCACCAACCTTTTTTTAGTCAATTAAATATGAAATGTTACACATGGAAATTTTTTTCTCAACTCCTGTTGAAAAAAAAACATTCCAATTACAGAGCTCAATAGTTCAAGCTAAAATGTAAGCAGTCAAGTGAACAGCTTTGATAAATGGTTCCTTTCCATCAGCTTAAAATCCTAGAAATCTAGAGTTTAGAACAATATGGTATATCTTGATACCACATCCCAGTAATAACAGCCATTTAACTGGACATAAATATGAAGAGATATCTAAGGTATGGTGAAAAATGGTGTGACACCTAAAAAGTTGTTTTATAATAAAGTTACAAACTACAGTAAAATTGACCCAATGTGTTATGACTTTCTTTTCAAGATTTTCTGAAAGAGTTAGGCTTTTGCATAAGGCTGTACATTAGACATTTTATGTATTGAAATATTTGAACCAATACTGGTATCAGCGATTACATTCATATAGCCGTGCCCAATGTTTTCTGTCATGCATCTCAATGGGCAAAAATATTCTTCACTTGTGATTCCCGGGCACCACAACAAGAGTATTTTACTCTTTACAGCCGTATACCTAATGTACGACTATGTACAAGAGCCCTAATTGGGAAAAACACACATGCAGCCACCAGGCTTTTTTTGTTTGTATAAACCTCAAACAGTTTACCATTCTCTTTTTAAAAAGGAATGGCTATTGCTTTTCAGTCATTAATTTTTAGGATTTCAGAAATTACTAAGTGAGGGGCATAAAACTTTAGCTAAACAGTTTCTACACAGGTGCAATAAAAATGGTGTCCTATTGTACCCCAGGAACCATATAATTGCAGCATTTTCAAAAGTTGTACCACTGACAATTTTTGGAAACATATGTATAAAACAGTCCATTTTGAGGATCCCCAAAATCCTCCTGTTGACTGTAAGGCTCAAAGTATTCCATGCCAAACAGTACAAAATAGTTATCAACAATACATGTCTTATGTGATAAAGGATCTGTGACTCAGCTCACCACCTTGCTTCTCAACCAGTAACCACAATGCTCATTCATTTATGACTGTGCAGAACTGGCAGATAGAGTGGAATTGTTTCCCATTAGATATGTTATTTGGATTATATAAAATAATCTAAAACATATTGCTGAAAGAAATACATACAGTTGTGTCCAAAATTATTCAACCCCCACTGAAATTGAGTGTTTTGGCCAGTTTGACATTGCTTTTGATCATTCAGTCATCTTGCTTACATTTACATTAAAGAGGCACTTGTAGGTCAGACAAATATAAACATAACAGTTATAATGAAATAACCACAAATGTCTTTTCTGTGCTCACAGCATTATCAGTTTTATTCAACCCCCAAGTGACATTCAATCTTAGTACTTAGTACAGCATCCTTTTACAGTTATAACAGCTTTTTTTAAAACGTGAAGCATAGCTTGACACAAGTGTCTTGCAGCGATCTACGGGTATCTTCGCCCATTCTTCATGGGCAAAGGCCTCCAGTTCAGTCACATTCTTAGGCTTGCGCACTGCAACTGCTTTCTTTAAGTCCCACCAGAGGTTCTCAATCGGATTTAAGTCTGGTGACTGCGATGGCCACTCCAAAATGTTCCAGCCTTTCCTCTGCAACCATGCTCTAGTGGACTTGGAGGTATGCTTGGGATCATTGTCCTGTTGAAAGGTCCAACGTCTCCCAAGCCTCAGGTGTGTGACGGACTGCATCACGTTTCCATCCAATATCTCCTGGTACTGAAGAGAATTCATGGTACCTTGCACACGCTGAAGCTTCCCTGTACCTGCAGAAGCAAAACAGCCCCAAAGCATGATTGACCCTCCACCATGCTTCACAGTAGGCAAGGTGTTCTCTTTTCATCATAGGCCTTGTTCTTCCTCCTCCAAACATAGCGTTGATCCAAACAGGGCCCAAAACAGTTTAATTTTGACAAACAGTTCTCATTTTGTTTCACACACAGGTATTTTTCCACAACTTTTGTGGTTTGTCCACATGGCTTTTGGCATACTGCAGTCGACTCTTCTTATTCTTTGGAGACAGCAAGGGGGTACGCCTGGGAGTTCTGGCACGGAGGCCTTCATTACGCAGTGTGCGTCTTATTGTCTGGGCTGAAACTTCTGTACCCACATCTGACAAATCTTTTCTCAGTTCCTCAGCAGTCACACGGGGACTTCTCTCCACTCTACGCTTCAGGTAGCGCACAGCAGTCGAAGTCAGCATCTTCTTTCTGCCACGACCAGGTAGCGTTTCAACAGTGCCCTTTGCCTTGAATTTGCGAATGATGCTTCCTAAGGTGTCTCTTGGTATGTTATTAACATCTTTGCAATCTTCTTATAGCCATTGCCCTTCCTGTGAAGAGAAATCACCTCTTCTCTTGTCTTCCTGGACCATTCTCTTGCCTTCACCATGTTTACGTAACCACACCAGTAAATGTCTAGAAGGAGCTGAGTATCACAGTCATTTTAAAGCTGCCTAATTGGTGCTTATTTGCTTGATTGCTGCTCGGTGACATCCACAGGTGTTTTCAATACCTGATGGAAAGCACCTGTATGAACCTCTGTTCTTCAGAGTGGTAGTCTTTAAGGGGTTGAATAATTTGGCATGATGAAGAAACCACATAAGAACCATTTCCTACTGTATGTACATAAACAATTGATGTCATTTTATCAACAATACATGTCTTATGTGCATTTGGGTAGTTACACTCGTCCTTGTAGGATTTGATTCTGAATACAATTCCAAATGTACACTATAGTCCCTAAACCCCTTTACAGCATTGGGGGTTGAAAATAATTTTGGACACAACTGTACATTGTACTTGAACTCCAAGAACAAAAAAAATGCAGCATTTGGGAATCACAATAAAATGAAAGCTTTTTAAGAAGGCCATAAAGACCTTACAAAGCATTCAACCACGTAGCTGTAAGCATTGTACATAGTCCAACATTTTTCTTTTGTATCAAGGGATCATCAGACACATGGTGTATAATGCATTACCGGTGGCAATATGGCAAAATATTTGTAAATGAAATTAAATGGTAATATTCTAATGCATAATTGTGCTACGCCATTACTATCTGAATTACCAAGCTGTTATTTAATAAAAGTTACTTCTTTTAGCTTTTCATCTAACAGTTCTAGTGAAAACTCTACATATCCCAACCATCTTTTGGGACTTATATAGCATGACTTTCATCCAAATTCCACAAGTCAGTCATTATGGTCAGTTTCCAGAGACCATTGCTGAAATTACTTTTTTGGCTGTATTAACATTATTTTGTGTGAAACATTTTTGAATTGAAGCCAGATACCTATTTTCCCCAGAATGGTGCATGTTGTTGAATTGTTAAGTCTCTACACAGCTGTTGCCTCATTAGTGTGGTTAGTAGAAACATATTTATTTTGATTTAGGCACAAGGTAGAACTTTGCAGGTTTGTTAGTAATGCTTGATAGGGCTGCTGCATTTCAGAGGTTCACTACCTGTGAAATATGTTATGATGAAAGGGAACCACACCATTTGCTACGTTCTCATGGAGTTCAAATTAAAAATGAAATACTGTGATGCATGCTGAAATATATCCTACCTGCTTATTGCTGTAATGCACCAGTCTACCCCGTTACCTTTAGCTGGTAATCAGGTAATAATAGGACAAGCCTACCTGTGGTGCTGGAATTCTGTATAAATTAAAAAACATTGTGATTCCCTGGAAACACATAACCGGTCTAGGAATTGTGGGACCTTCTAGAAACTCCCCAGGATTAACTTGACCTTGGGTTGTACATGTGTGGTGGCCTCCGCCTGTGTTTGCAGCAGGCTAACTCTCTACTCTCCCCTCCCCTTCTCTGCCTCTCTGCTTTTTCCCTTTCTCTTACCCTCTTGTACTCTTCTACCGCCTTTATGTATTTAGTACACTGACTTTTGATATGTTTATTTATTATTATTTTTATTAGAGGTACTTATATAGCGCTGTCAATTTACACAGCGCTTTACATATATATTGTGCATTTGCATCAGTCCCTAACCCTCAAGAGGCATACAATCGAAAGTCCCTAACTTACATTCATACATACATATACACGGGCCAA